TGCCTATAGGACTCTTCTTTCCAGAATATTCTTCCTGATCACACATACCTGCAAGAGCCCTTAAAGACAACATCTACTGGGGAAGGGCAACCACCATCAATACCACAGCCAAACCAAGCCAGAACCCCTTTCACTCTCCACAAGATAATGTTTCCTGATAGCCTTCTTTACCAAAAGTCTTCCCCTATCATTCAAAATCCAGTCTCCTGATAATAAAAAACCAGAAGCTCTCCTGCTTTGCTGCTCTCGTCCCCTTCTGGTACACTGATAACAAAGTCTCCCAGCGTCACTAGCAAATACTGCTTCATCATGATCTCCCTACTCAGAACTGGAAATGGCAGTCTTTCCAGTCAATCGGTACATCCGGGATACATACTCGTTTTTGAGGTTTAAACCCCACTACTTCATATTCTCAAGAGGCAGTCTTCTGAGAATAAGTTTAAAAAGCTAAAGATGGACAGGCTACTCAGACTTAAAAGGGCCTATAGCTTAGCACATAATTTTATTTTAGAACCTTTTAAAGAAAATCCATACCAGCTTCCAGATGAGTGTCAAGTTGCACTCAGTGCACTTAAATAGGCAAGCAGGACACAGTACAAACATTTAGAGTCACAGTGAAAATGGGTCACCTGCAGCCTACTCCTTATTTCTTTACTGTTACACCAACAGCATCAGGGAAGAATTTATGTAGCACCAAAAGTGCTGCAAAATTAGACTTATCCAGACATTAGTAGCAAGAGCCCAACACAATGACACCAAAAAGGGGGCATTTATCCAGGCTTTGTAATTCCGCTGAGAGGTACCAAGATGAAAGGCAAATGATATGTTCATTTCTTGTTTTACAAAAAGACATACAGATTTTGGAAGTTTTCCTTCCATTTCAATTTTTTGGAACAGTTTCAGAAGAATAAGTATTAATTCTTCTTTAAATGTTTGGTAGAATTCCCCTGGGAAGCCATCTGGCCCTGGGCTCTTGTTTGTTGGGAGATTTTTGATTACTGCTTCAATTTCCTTAGTGGTTATAGGTCTGTTCAGGTTTTCTATTTCTTCCTGGTTGCGTTTTGGTAGTT